ACGTGACCCCCGCCGATGTCGCGTGACCCCCAATGACGTCATCGTCACTGATGACGTCACCGGCATCTACATCGTCATCGTCACCATCACTGATGACGTCATCATCACTGATGACGTCACCGGCATCCACATCGTCATCGTCATCATCACTGATGACGTCACCGGCATCCACATCGTCATCGTCATCATCACTGATGACGTCATCGGCATCCGCATCGTCATCGTCATCATCACTGATGACGTTACCGACATCCGCATCGTCATCGTCATCATCACTGATGACGTCATCAGTGACGTCACTGATGTCGTCACCGGCATCTACATCGTCATCGTCATCGTCACTGATGACGTCACCAGCATCCGCATCGTCATCGTCATCATCACTGATGACGTCACCGGCATCCGCATCATCATCGTCATCATCACTGATGACGTTACCGACATCCGCATCGTCATCGTCATCATCACTGATGACGTCATCAGTGACGTCACTGATGTCACCGGCATGCACATCGTCATCGTCATCGTCACTGATGACGTCACCAGCATCCGCATCGTCATCGTCATCATCACTGATGACGTCACCGGCATCCGCATCGTCATCGTCATCATCACTGATGACGTTACCGACATCCGCATCGCCATCGTAATCATCACTGATGACGTCATCAGTGACGTCACTGATGTCGTCACCGGCATCCACATCGTCATCATCACTGGTGAAGTCATCAGTGACGTCACTAATGACGTCATCAGTACCCGCATCGTCATCGTCACTGATGACGTCATCAGTGACGTCAGTGATGACATCATCGGCATTTGGGGGTCACGTGACCCCCAAGGTAGCGTGACCCCCCAAGGTCACGTGACCCCCCTGGTTAGTTGAACCCCCCCACCAGGGCCCTTTCCTCCTCCTCCTCAAGAGCTGCGCTCTAATTCGGCGTTACAGGGAGTTGTAAACGGCTTTCACTTTTTTTCTTTACCATATTCCCAACATAACCCTGCCCAACATAATCCTGCCCATATTCCCAACATAACCCGAGAAACTGCACAACATTATTTTTCGGTTTTCCTACTGTAAACATTAATTCTGGAGCCGTTGACCTTATCACACCTTCTATGGTTTCTGTTAGACCTTCGCTAAACGTGCATATTAAGTTGTCATCTACATATCTTCTCACTACTGCCGTACCCGGGGACAACTCCTGTAGATTATCGTGCACTGCGCGATCCAAGAGTTTAAGTAAACTTCTGCTAAAATCGGAACGACTGATGACCCTATACAAACACCTTCTTTTTGTATATACTTTCTTCCTTCGCACTCCACTACCGTTGACTTCAAATAAAACTTCAAAATTGTTAAGAAACTTTCTACCGATATACCTGAGCCCGATTGAAACTTAACGAGATTCAACTCCAATGCGTCCCTGACTCTCTGCATTAACCGGGTATTTTCTAGGGAATCGATAACACTGAACAACGCCTCCCATGATGAGCCTCCAAACTGGTAATCAATTCATTTGAATTTCTAAGTGCTAATGAATTTTCTAAGCATACATAACCCAACCCCTTCTGTAGAAACTTCGACACCACTTTCTGCCATGTCCCACTCTCATTGATGACCGTAGGAAGGGGCATTTCAGGCTTATGGTCTTTTAGAAACAACTTGATGGCCAATGTTGAATTCATTGCACTAGGGATACATTTTGCTACATCCTTCAATTCATCCTCATTCAGTACTGGACAAATGTTTCTTTTCAACTTTCCAATGTTCCCTATTTATTCCGAAAACAGTGTATCCATAGCCGTTTCTGTGTTTCTCTTGAATACTGCCATAGGTAAGACTGCAAACCGTCCGGACTTGTCTGTTTCTGACAACTTTAAAGACTTCGATTGCAACTCCCTCTTAAACGCATTGACTTCTCTGAAATTTCTTTTGTCCTTTGGGTACGTTAAATCCATTACCTTCTCCATCCTACTGATTGCATGATCTATAAAAGCGACCTTTTCTTCTGGGTTAACCATCCTAGCTACCGTATAAATGGAAGACAACACGTCAATCCTCGAAGGCTTCAAATTCAGACAACACTTCGGTCCCTTAGCTAAAACTTCGTTCTCGGTGATAATGCTTCGCCACATGAATTGACAACAGGCTGCCGGGGCTCACACCATACAACAGATCGAAACCACGATTTCAGACTCCAATTAACGAGAGACTTTAAGTCTTTGATACTATCTAGGACCCATGCCTTCGCTTAACATTCCACAGTCGTTCAAACAAAGTACCTCTGGTGCTGTTCCATTGATGGTAATCACGGTAGTGCTTGAAGCTATCCCAGGAGAAGTGTTTTAAGTGCTTGTGATCTCCCAGGAGAAGTGCTTGTGATCTCCCAGGAGAAGTGTTTTAAGTGGATTTTCCAAAAAACCTGTACAACCGTGTTTTTTTGTTTTTGTTTTTTTTTTTTGTTTTTTTTTTGGGGGGGGGGGGCGGGGTCTCTACGTGTATTGGCTCTACTATCGTTTCAGTGTGTTTTGTTTTCTTTACCTTTTTTTGTAAAGGGGGCGTGTTATGATTTAGAAGTATGAACTGTGTATAGAATAGTAGGGGAAGAGATCCTTGTGTTCAAGTTTGAGGGTGGATGGATGTTGCCTTATCGCGTCGACCTGTAAGCGTTGTCAACGTTCTTGCATTGTGTGATGAAGTCTGTGGCGCTTGATCTGTATAACTTAGTCCTTTGGTGTTGGTGAAGATGACCTTGAGATTGAGACTATATAAGGAGGTGGACTAAATAAATGAGTTAGCTGAGTTTGAGACGTCGTCCTGTCTAGTTTCTGTCCCTTCTACGTTTTGATGTTTCTTCTCTACCGCAGTCTCAGGTTAATTCAACACGGTTAATATTCACCAGCTCGCCTGCACCCTCACGATTTTTTCCCTTTGTAGGGTTTCTTACACCGAGACATTGCGCCTATCTACCTCAAGCCTTGCAATGTACGGTATATCCGGTATAACCGCTAAAAATTACAACAAAGTTTTACTCCAACCTTACTTGCTAGCGGCCTCCCGGCGGCCTATCCTAGCGTTTGCTAAATCTATGCAAACTATTTCATGCACGCTAGAACATGATCTCCTAAGGAGACACCAAATACACTTAGCTTCGTACGCCTTCCGAAGAGCTACCGCAAAACACGTCCACTCCACTCGACGCCCTGATGACTTTCCCCCAAGGTGGGTAGCAGCGTACGCTGCAAATCTATCCAACTATCTTCGACAATTCACTAAAAAAAAGAAAAAACGAGGTTCAAGACGCGGGTACAAAGATGTTCCTTTTCCTTTCGTTTTCGTGCTTCACAACCCGGTTCAACACGTACTCCGTTTCACCCGCGGTCACGGTGCCCGCGGTGGACCGCAAAAGAGAATAGGGCCATCAAAGTCACTCTCAGCACGGGCCAACGTTGGCACGGGCGCAGCAACGCTCTGGACTCGTAGTGAGGGTCTTCAGAAAGCACATTTACAGCATTGGATTGGCTGAGTTTGCTCGTAGCGTCTGTTGTGGTTCACCGCAAGGTGAAGAGAACTTGTAGCTATGTCTACGGCAGCCTCGTTAGGCGCCTCAGCGCATCACGAAAACTCCCCGCTTCGCGGCTTCTACTGGCTTCACATCGTCGTCCATCACCAATTTCGGGTAACGCGGCGCTGGGTGCTGAATGCACCCAATGCGTGAATTTCGTGTAGTGCTTTATGGATCAACTGGCGGGTAGTAGTACATGTAGCGTTCATGTGTAAAACAATTTCCTTCGATATTCGCCGCTTGCAGTCACTTCCACCGAAAGATACCTATGACTACATTAAAACATTAAAGCAAACAGCCTAATAAAAATGCGGTTGTGCACAATTAATTATGGTGAATTCTACCTCAGACAATAATAATAAAAAAAAATGAAACATCAAGCAGTTGAAGAGGCAGAAAGAAAGGGATCAAGACTCAGCTCGAACTGAGCTGCTGCGTTTATTCCATCCCACACCTTGTATACTCATAACGTGTCCACATCCAACCTTCAAACAACAAAAAACGAAAAATAAAAAAAGGAAATCACAGCAGTAACGCATGCACGCACACACACACTCATACACAATAACGCATCATTGTCCTTCCAAACATTTCGGTCATTTCTCCGTCTATCTTGAAAGGATTCACCAACATTTTTAATGAACCCAAATCTGTACCACGTGGTGCACACGGGACACGATTGTTTTTCATACACTTCCGTGCACTACGGCTCTAGTGCAAACGAAATTTGGTAGAAAATCCAGCCAGTTATAATCTGTGAAAAAACAGTGAGTGCGCAGGAAAGGAACGTCTCAATTTCTTCTTCGACCAAGTTTCTCAGCTTTTACCAGCGTCGGGTTTTCTACATCATGAGTTATAATCTGTTCTTCGCGTCCCCTATTTAGACATGGCAATGGTATACGGATCTCCGAGTTTGTGCATATTATAAAATTGCATTTATTGCACTGCTTTAGCCCTGTCGACTAATTCCACTTCTCTTTTATCATTTTGTATAAAAATAATGTGTAGTCGTTTTATGGCGACGTAGCAGTGTAGCACTAGTAAAGATGCAAAACAAATCACAATAATAATTAGCGGCTCGAATTGGTTCGAACCGTTACTCTTTCCCTGCAGGGCTGAACTGGAACTGAACCGATTGACGTGAGCCCGAACCCGAAACGAACCGATAAAAATTTCGGTTCGCCACTCTGTGAAAACGCGCACATCCCCAGGGCAGGGACGCAAACGACAGCCTTTCCTCTTGGTGTGGCGCCATCTGTGTGGAGTGCCACGAACCTACAAACATTTATTTCATTTAATTTTGGCCAGAGTTGGGTGTCTCATAATATGAATGGGTGGCTTATTTATACTACTTATTTTTGCTCCTTTTATTTGAGAGCTTTATTACTATTTTATTTTTTTTTTGTATAAAACTCTTTGCGTTTTTCTTGCTTGGTTGGTTTTATGTTTAGCGCAGTTTATAGAATGGCCGTAGGGAGTGCTGCGGGGCCGCGCCTTAGGTAATTCGGTTAATCGGGGCTGCCATTTTGTTCCGGTTTTGCTGGCTGCTGTATTGGCATGTTACGGTAAATTGCCAAATATGGACTCTGAAACATTTTCTGAGGAGAATCTGATGTCATCCGAAGCAGATCCAGACTTGGGTTTCATTGACACAGGTTCGGCTTGTTTCCTTGCTTCGTTACCGCCATAAAGCGAAGCTAGTGCGCGCTAAACTGTGATCGTCATCGTAGCGGAAACAATGAAGCATTTTCATATAATATGTATTTCTGTTATAGACAGCTCTTTCTGAATTTTGTCGCAACAGCATTTTGGAACTGGCAGTGTAGAAGTTGCAGAAAATGCATTGCTTCTGAAGTTGTTGCACAAATTAAAAAAAAAAAAAAGTAAAAGAAAAGATGAGTGCAGTGTAGCCTAAAAAGCCTAAAACGTAGTGTCTAGAGCAGTGGTCTCAAACCCATTTCAGTGCAGGGGCCAGATAGCCCACACCGGAAGGGTCGAGGGCCAGCGTAAGACAGGGATGAAATGAGGATCAAAAGATTTCAAAGGGAAGAAACCTCGTGCCTTATGGTTTTTCTAAACTCGCAGTTTTGCCAGTGACATCTTTAGGTTTGGTTTGTTTACCTAACAACGTTCCGCAAACGTGCCAGCATTTTCAAAAGAACGAGAGAGCAAGTACACTGTCGTTTCTGTTGCTCAATTCACTCAGAACGTTGCCAAGCTCAGCATGTCCAAAAAAAAAAAAAAAAAAAAAAGCAAAATTTTATTTGACAGTTTTGGCTTTCCTGGCGATTTTTATTACAACACTGTAGAGAAGCTTGTCTTTTATAGGTGATATATTTTTGAAGGTGAGATTCCCGAGCTTGTAGCTCTATCCTTAGCAGTTTCTCCTGCTGATCAAGAGTTAGTGCAGTCGAAATGCATTCTTCAACGAAGAGCTCGCGCTTTCAGCCTTCTAGCGGAATCGTTGGACATTACAAAAAGTTGAGAAGAAAAATAAAGCAAAACAAAGGGCAAATGAACACAGATAAGTGTATACTAAATGAATACGTTAAAGGAACAGAGCTACTTTTCGAGCGTAAATGTATGGCCGAGATGAAAGCACTAGGGTGCATGACATTTCTAGCGATTGAGACATGGGAACCGGGATTCGTCGGTTGCTTGCGGGCCGCGTCCTAGCGAGTCGCGGGCCGCATGCGGCCCGCAGGCCGCGTGTTTGAGACCTCTGGTCTAGAGTGACGGCACTCTTGTAGAGCGTTCAAGTGACGTCCGACGGTACTGCACCCACGCGTTCAAGTGCCGTCCGAAAGTCTCGTATAAAACAAGTTCTCAAGACAAATTTTACGAAGCTGTAGTGTAGCTTAGTGGTAAGATGTGTGCCTTATACACAAACTCAACTCTGTTACGTCACAGCGCGGTAATGGCGCGTCGTGCGCACTTCCGGTCTGGGGCTGTGGGCAGATGTCCCCGTTTGAGACGTGTGTTCTCGCGTTGTTTTGAAAGAAATCAAACAAAAACCGGCCTTCTCGTCAAAACGCCGCAACTGAGGCCGTACCAACAGTGTCGAGAAAGGTTTGAAGGTCAGTTTTCATGTGCTTGGTTCGTCCGAGAACAGGATATGTGCCGTGAAAAAGGAAAACCAGATGCTGTGGGACCACGATTGCTTGGGCGGGAAGCACTTTGGGTTGAATTGACCGATACTTGTGGTCATCAGATTTATTTGTTTTGTTCCAACATCAACACCGGAAAACCGTCAAATTGTACGAACCACCTGTGGAGTACGTTTAGTGCGTCTTCAAGTTCAAACGGCCGCCTGATTGTTCGAACTGTCGTCTGCTCTTTCACACGCTTCTGCCTGTCGTCTGCTCTTTTAGACGATACCGGCCCGTGAACCAAATGTTGGCCCGGTACTTGCGATAAGAAGTAAGTGCTCAAAAGACTTAAGTTTTAAGGTTGGTAAGCAGGCTCGATGTAAACAGTAGGTGCAAGGAGATATTGATCATCTTACCAGTGGCCATCACCAACTTGTTGTGCCTGATTCACGTGGTCCGTCCGATTCTGCTTGCGATTTTCAGAATTAACATCGACTACCTCGGCTACGGTTCACGCTTTTGCAGCCCGAGTGACGTTGCGACTGAAATTTGCGAGCGAAATCTCATCATGCAAATCAGGCTTTAGCGTCCATTCTGCGGTGTCCACGTGGAAGGAATCGCCGCATGTCACTTTATTCACGCGAAGTTTTGCGGTGTAACGAGCCTCAGTAATTTCGCTGAGGCCGCTGAAGTAGTCAGACATTGCCAGGAAGACATAGAATCAACAATTCGAAGGCGAAAAAGGGCAGGGGGACTCACACCCACGCTTACAACATCGCATCTCAAAAGGTTTGTTCATGGGCGAGTGGGAGCTTCTTGTCCACACTCCATCGCGCATGCGCGCTAGGAGCGCTCCGGTTTGTTTGTAAACATGCGTTGGTGTATAAGCAAGCGATCCCGGGTTCGATTCTCCAATGGGGGCTTACTTTTTTTTTTCTCAGTTTGTTTTGTCGACGTGTTTGGCGATATTTACATTTCTTTTTTACGATTAACACTGGAGAAAAGTGAATGTTGTCGACGAAACTTCGCTGAAAAAACGCTATGGGACTTCGTTTCCGAACGTGCATGGGGGACAACGGGGCTTGGTTTGCCAGCTGGACGCCGCAAAGCGGCGTGTACGACGGGGCCGAATGAGTCAATAGTTTTGTAATTAACAGCCGCATACGGTCGCCGCGAAGCAGTGTGAACGCAGGCGGAGGTGTGTTAACGAGCTCCCCAGTGATACATGCGCCGTCTGACTTTTTTTCGGACGGCACTTGTAGGCGCGAAAGGAGTGCCGTCGGACAGCACTGTAGACACAGCCTTTATAAAAATCATCAATTTCTTTTATTACTTATTTGAGTATTAAGCAAAACCACTTCCATTTTCTTGTGGGTCCGAGCAAAATCGTGGCAGATCTCGCGGGAGCGCTTTATGAGTGCCAGCGACGATGACTGCATTATTACGTTAAATGGAAATGAAAATTACAAATACAAAGCTTAAGCAGCGAATGCCGCTTGCACACAAGTAAATATCTTAATGCCGCACCCACATCTCTTCTGAGCGAGTGGCTTCCTGTGCTGGGATCCTTTTGCTATGCCGATTCATTTTACAATTTGCGGGGTATTTTAAAATAACAGTCCAATGAGGTCATAGTTCTTTCGTTCCACTCAAGTTTGATGACGTTTAAGGTGACTCAAAATTTTACCAAGCTATCTTTGTTAACAGTCGCTGCTGCCACACGGCTGAAACAAAGTTTAGTCGATTGAACTATTTGCGGACGATTGACATGTACAACAACAATAATAATGATGATCATGTTAGCCTGTCACAGTCGTTCGCCCGGTCACCCCTCCTTTCCTGGATAAGTAGGAATATTCCCCTTAAAGATATTTAGGTTGCACTGTTCAAAGACATTTGCTTGGAATGGAGATCGTCCTGATAAGGATAATATAATTAATGGGAAGAACACAAGGACGGACAAGACAGTTCCCCAGTTGGAATATCGTCCTGTCCATACTTGTGTTTTGTGTTCTTCCCATTATTTATATAGTTCGAAGACAGTTTTCATTTCTTTGAAGACCTCAAAGTGTGTCAAGTAGAAGGGTTGAAGCTGTACTTTTGGCTGCCATGTGTCTATAGTAACTGTCATTTTTACCTGGATCTGTTGATCTATAAAATAGTTCATAAAAAAAATACTAGCTAGTGTGCAGTTCAGAGTGCCACAAGGAAGAGCACATACAACAAAAACTGTTGCACATAATATGGAATGAAAAACGGGTTGTAAAAAACGGGCGCCGACCTGATAGGTCACAAGTTATGATCGTCAATGCACTTTTTCCCGGTTGCATGTTGCTCACTCCCTTCCGTTGTTTTCAGGCGTAAATTTCCTGTCATCAAATGGCTGGTTCATATCACTTGGGATCCTTATTCTCTACGTGATCTACACTAAGTATGGTTCGCATTTTGAACGGCTGAGACAGCAACAACCACAGCAACGGCAATATCATGGTGAGCCAGTGCTTACTCTTTTTTTTGAAGGTGCCGGCCAGGTGACCGTCCTTCTTTCTGCTTTCTGTCTGATTTGTCTGCACTTGTTTTCTCAGCATTGCCAAATACTGCAGTAGCTGGTATCAAGTGTGTGTAACCCTCAAATTCATAGATGTCACGTGACTTGAGCTTGACTTGCCGCTGTCTTTGAAAGACTTCAGCGCGCTTCCAGGATCCCGGTGACGTGCTTGCTGCACCAAGCTGCACCAAAGTGTTTGCCCTGCTACATCCCGCTACATTTCACCAAAATGTGATGAATTTGTGCCAACATTGCACCAGAAGATTATTTGGCATTATTAATACTAAAAACAGAATAACTCAGACCCTGCTATGTGGCCGGATCATTACGGTACGCTTGTCCAAATTTTCTAAACTTTGATTATCGTTTTAAATAATGCACTACTCAATTTTATTTCTGTATCAGACACTCACAGTTCTCGGAGGTCGCACAATATTTCTCATGTTCGTGGTCTGTTCTGGTAGGTTAGGTAGCTTCATTAAGTGTGCTTCTCACCGCACACTGGTGCACTGCAGTGAAGCAGAAACTATGGAGTAGGCATATCGATTTTGCATATCTGGCTTCACCACAGCGCAGCTGCCTGCTAAGGGGAAAGCAATCAATCAATACCTAATTTTCACATCAAAAGTTAATGTAGGCTACAGGGGCAAAAAGTAAAAAAGATTTGACTTCACATCTAGAGCTGGACGTTGGTTGCACGCTCAAATGTTAAACAAATAGGTATCAAAAAAAAAAATTTTTTTCTAAAATTGGAAAGTTTAGATGTAGCAGCTCTCCTTACAGTAAAAAATTCTGAATAAGGCTGGAGCTAGTATATATGATAAACTGCAATATACTGACCTTTTTCTTTCTTTTTTTTTTTTCAAACGAGATTTATTTAGGATATTGGTTAGTGATGGACCGAATCTGCCGAACTTCAAATTCGGCAAAGTTCGGCAAATGCCGAACTTTTGAAAGAAAGTTCGGCGAAAATTCGGCAAATGTTTGCGCACGTGCGAGAAAGCGACGGAGCCATGGATTGCAAATGGACGCCGTGCAGTCGTGCGGTTACCATCGTGCAGTGTAGTACAACCTGCGGTTACGGCGCGTTGTGGGCTAGGCAACACGGTAACTGTGCATTTGGGAACGAGTGTGGTTCTTTTCAATATTTTCTGCCTCGAGAATAGAAGATGGACCAGTAATTTACGCAGTCCACTGCGCAAGTGACAAATGATGCAGTGCATTCTGAAACATTGAAACATTGGCCGACAATTACTTTAAAGCACTCCTCGCAATTACAAAAACTCTGTTTTTGGCTCAGGAGTAGTGTGTTCCAAAACAAAATAATATTGATTTCTTCAATTAGTGTTATTTCGTGATTTTCATGTATCTGCATAAAACTAAGCACAGAACTACAATGCTCGACGTTGCGCATTTGACATTCCTAACTCTTCCTGTCTTCCGAAATGTTTGTGTGTGTCCTAACACCAGAAACTGGCATTTTAAAGTTTAAAAATGAGGCGTTGCAAATATGGGACGCACACTTTCATGCAAAGCTGACGTCAGGTGACAAAAATAAAAAAAATATGCATGTTTACAATATTATTACTATCTCTTCTGGTAAAGGCTGAGCAACCATTCGTTGCATTCGTTTTCGCACACGAAACGACGACTTCCAGAGAAAGCAAGAACGCAGCAATATTGCCTTCATTTTAACAATGTACACACACATGCAGGCTTGCGCTGATGATGCCTTAAAACCTAAACTCACGTAGCGTGATTCGCCACGCTCGCTTCTACCCAAACTCGTCACGCCACTTCTGCAAGAAGTCACTAAATTGCCAGTAAACACACAAAAACGACACCGATACAATTATATTGTAGAATATCGCCTTATTTAGTAATAACTATGTCAATAGGCATTACATGTTGCATATATGTTAAGAAAAAAAAAGAAACATAACACCCTTTTTTGACAGAAAAAACGAAATATCAACATTAAGTTTGGTAACAATGTGTTTTTGTTGAATCTTTGCCAAATCTTTAGAAGAGTTTGGTAAAAGTTCGGCTTTGCCGAATCACGAGATTCGGCACCGAACTTTCGATTCGGCAAAAGTTCGGCCCATCACTAATATTGGTGCTATAGCATATATTTTTATGTCAACTCTATTGTTTAGTTATCACCTATAAATGGGTTACATCCGAGTGATAGCACAGTGAACAGAGTAAGTTTAAACTAAATTAGCTAGAATGAAAACCTTAAGGGAGCGATGCAACGACTTTCATACTTTGCGCAAATTTCGCTTAGAACAGATCCCAGTCGTCAATTACTTGTTTAACACCCATTGGTTTTCACCACAAGCAATTGAAGTCACAGAAAAAATTAAAGAAAGACGAGCAGCAATTACCCCTTCAACTTGCAGCCAGATCAAATGGCCATGTGATCTGGAGCCGAATATATGCCGCCAATGTTGGCCATAGCCATGCGCTCGGGTTTGCAAAGTACAGTACACGCACTGAGTTCCAGACATGGTTAAGGTTCGGCTATTGTTGTCATCGAAGCGATTGGGCACAAGCCGCTACCCGAATGCTTCTCGAGCTGTTGATTATCGCGAGCCCAAATCGAGTGGTCACGCAATGCTCGGGTCCAATCCATGAGCCGCATTCAAATGGCATCACTGGGGGATACTGCAACCCCCAGCGACATCATCAACTTTTGCGAATGAAAGATTGAAAGAAAATGCTCGCTTTTGTCCTTGAAATTACACCGCAACAAAGGAGTTTTTTGGCCAGTGGCATTGCGTGCGAGTATCCTTTAGTCTCACTAGTGCCAGTAAGCTCGTGTAAAATGAAAAACGTTCCAGTTGAATATCGTTGCACCGCCCTTTTAATGAGGTAACCCTAATGAGTTTGACTGGACTCTTTCTAAGACTTGCTTATTGTTCCTATACTGATTTTTGTTTTCATGAAATGCTACATTATGAAATGTCAGTGAAGTTGATAACCAAGTGACAAAAGCTTTGTTTTTATGTGAATTAATAATTGCAGTTTTATTATAACCTTTAGGACTTCAGTGAAACATAAGTTGGAGTGCTCAGAATTATTCTGTGCTAACAATTTTTTCCATGGAACATAACACGGTTTACCTTTGGCTCATACCCAAAAACCATTCACAGCAGTTCATATATCTGTCCTTCATCACTCAGCATGTTGTTGTTGTGCCTCATGCTTCTACACTCAACCAAGTGGCTAGTGATTCTTGTGTTTGAGGCGTTTTAGGCACTCCAAACCTGCCGTGCAATCGATGCTAACAAGAGGTTGCACAAAAAGTGGGAAGACAAAGTAAGCAATGTATTTTGATGGACAGACCAACACATGAATGTTAACATAAACTATTTGCAGTGGTAGGAATTCAGTTGGAGTGTGTGCAGGGAAGCCGAAACGGTTCAGTATTGGGGAGAAAAAAAACACTTAATCATCTTCCTTTGGCATCCAGGATCACGTATATCAAGATTAGTTTTTAATTTTGTGCACGAAGGCTGCCGGAAATCATTTTCAGAGTACCGGACCCGTGACGTCATATCCAGAGTGTTCGGAATCTGCGCTCCCACGCATCTTCAGCGCCTGTCAAAGCTGTGCACGGGCACCCTTGCTTTTTTCAAAAATGTCAGAAAAAGGTGTCATGACTGGTGTCAGTGCGGGGAAATATACCTGCAACTTTGCAATTCCACGCGCTGTCCATACGAGCGGCATGCATTTGACGGCCGATCAGTCGTTACATATGACGTAACGACTGATAGGAGGTTTTTCGTGTTTTCTCGCGTTCAGTTACATTTTCGGGGAAAATGAATGTCATATTCAGATTCACGGTATAAAAATACTCTAAAATTCACCTCTAACTGCTTTTTTTTTTAAAAGAACCTCATCAGCTTCCTTTTAAGCTCCAAAAGTTCCTTTTGCTGCTCCAAAACGGACCTTTAGCTACTCCAAAAGGTGCTCCAAAATCAGTCAGGTCAATCACATCAATGAAATTCTTTTTGATTTGAAGCTCTCCCTTGCAAAGGACCACAACTTTACCATGTTTACGATGGGCTTTGAGGACAGTTTGAAGCTGATAAGATTAAACAAAACAATCATAACCCTTTTCAGCTGCCATATACTTTAGAGAGTTTTGGAATAGTGTACCCGAGTTGAGTGCATGTTGGCGCTAAAACTTAGGCTAAAATTAGCACAGTTTATGTGAGAGAGTTTTAGAATAGCATTCTTCGTCCGCAACCAAAAACCCTAGCATCTTGTGCTTGTGAAGCGTTAACAAGATAGAGTCGCACCTTTTACTACACATACAAAATGCTGTAACTTGAGAAGAAAAATAAAGCTTTTGCCTCCTGAGTAACATTTGAGATATATTTTTTCAATATGAGAATGTGATGTGCGGTCGAGCCGTCATGTCCGCTTTCTTCTCCTCGACAAGAGTGGTCTCATACTGACCTTTGCCAAGAAGTTTCTGCCCATCGCAAGCAGCAAGCTGCCGGCGATCGTTGCCCACCTTATCGTGCCTTCAAAACAGTTTGTGGCATTCACCTCCTCTAGGAGTGTAATGTCGTCTTCTATTGAAAACCGTAATTGCAAGGACTCCACTGACGTTGCAAGCACGGCAGTGCAGTCCTGAGAGCCACTTCTTCATATTTGGCTGACCTTGGCTTTAGCCCTTTCACAACTTGCATCTTGCGAGAGCATCACAAAGGCTTTGGGTGCCCATGCTATTCCCGAAAAATAGTGTATGCACTCAAAACCCAAAACGTGGTTTTGGGTTTGGTGCATGTGCAGTAGCAACGAGGGTGTTTTTTTTTGGTACTCAAAACTTTTGGGTATGATATTTTAAACCGTGAGCTCTGTGCAGCATTGCAGAAGACGCCAGCTCGGAGCTAACTGAACTGAGGATGGCTTCTCAAAACGCACATGC